AATTTGCCCTAAAAGACTTACATTATTAAAAAATAAAATACATTTAATAAGTAAGCTCAGAAAGTAAACAAGGAAGCTATTTAGCAAACCATGTGGCCTAGGAAAGGAGCCACTGAGAAAACAAGGACCAAGAGAAGGGAATCTCGGCAGAAGGAACAATGAGCGAAAATGCAGCAAAGCCAAATTGTTCAACTTTATATGGGTATTTTAAAATGTCAGGGTATTTTAAAATGTCAGCATCTGTTCTCCCAGTGAAATTAGCTGAATGCAACATATGTAAATCTTTACATTGTATTAATCAGCATATATACTCTATATGGATTTATTTATGCTGAATTTTGTTGTTTTACACTAGAACAGGCAAAATTAAAATTTGACAACAATCTCTTCACATTATAATGAAAAGCAATAACTGTGAATACAATACTCATGCACTGGAACAGAAAACCCAAATGTAACAATAGAAGACTGATTTGTTTTTATTATTGGTTAAACAGTAGCATTTGCATTATAATGTAGGGGTTGTGATACCTGTAATATATCATGAAACTGGGGGGAAAACCCCATAAATGAACAATGTGCCACAGAAAGGCCAACACCATTTTACTGCCCCTATTCTACATTATTTTACTTGAAGGAACATAACCACTGAATTCAGTGGGCCAGTTCCAAGTACAGGCATTTAACACTGTGAAGTAAGCTGTACTAATAAAGAGACAACAGAATCACTATACTTGGTACTGGTAAGATGTTATCTGAAATAGCCTGTAGTGGTTTAAAGCCCATGTTACTGAAAAGCAGTGTCTCATTTACTTTGTTATAGTGCCCTAAACAGTCATATATCAAGGATCACCTTGCTCACTGTCATATAAACCTATGAATGTGCTGAAATCCTCATCCAACTCTGTTAGAAACTAGATTGGTGGCTACTAAGAACAGAGAAGAGGTCATGGCACTCCCTCTCTAGGGAGGATTGCTTGATTCCCTCTCTGCTTTTTTTTTAGGAGGCAGAGCAAGCCAATCCTGTTTCAGATAGCTTTTCAGGAGGGCATGAGTGTCATAAATGGATACTGCATATTATTTGGATCTGATGTTAGATCTATGTCTCAATTAAGGGTGTGCATTTAGCTCTATCTAAGCTGAAAAAATAGCTGGAAAATACCTTATTGGTATTTATTGGCTGTTCTTTCAGCCAGAAATAGAGGGAGGTGTATTTCCAGCTATTGAGCATAGCCAATCCCAGATAATCCTGAAAAAAATTGGAATTATCCAGGAAAACAGGATAGCCGCAGTTAAATGTCATTTAAAGAGAGGGTACTCCCTTGAAGAAGAAGAAGAGATTGGATTTATACCCCGCCCTTCAGTCGGAGTCTCAGAGCAGCTTACAAACTCCGTTCCCTTCCCCTCCCCACCCCACAACAGACACCCCGTGAGGTTGGTGGGGCTGAGAGAGCTCTTTCCAGAACTGTCCTTGAGAGAACAGCTCTGACAGAACTATGGCTTGCCCCAAGGTCATCCAGCAGCTGCAAGTGGAGGAGTGGGGAATCAAACCCGGTTCTTCCAGATTAGAGTCCAAGCACTTAACCACTACACCAAACTGGCTCTCTTTAAACACTGTTCTCCCAGATTAGAGTCCATGCCCTTAAACACGGTTCTCTGAGATCAGAGTCCAAGCACTTGACCACTACACCAAACTGGCTCTCTCTTTAAACACCGTTTTGGGTGAAGATGCAGCTTCACAAATGCATTTAAAGGGACCGTGACACCTTTAAATGCCTTTGGCTCCATTATAGCCTATGGGGACCATTATAGCCAATGATCCCCAATGACTCCTATCCAGAGGTATGCAGGGGTCCAGGGAGGTTATTTTTTGAGGAAGAGGCACCAAATTAGCTTCTGATGCCTCTGTTCAAAAGATCCCCCAAACTACTGCCACCATTCACATTCTTCCTTGGGCCGTCAGCATTTGCCTGCCTTCTTTTGACTGGTGGTAGCGGCCACCACCACCACGAGCCACTTTCTTCCCTGCTTGGCTTCGTCTCTTCCTCCCTGTCACCGTCAGCTTCCCCACCAACCAGCCATACTACCATTTGTGCCTGCTTTCTCCCTGTCCATCCCAGCAATGTTTCCCAGAACTGCTATGCAACCCCAGCCACAAATGGCAGCTAAGATCTTGCAATGCTGCATCACAACATATTTTTGTTTCTTTAAGTTACCTATGCAAACACAGGCTATGTTTCTCTGGTTTCAGAGTGTGTTTTTTAATTCTTTTATTAAATTTTTAGACTTTTCTGCAAATCTGGAGGTTCCAAAGAGTTTGTAGAAAAACACAGTCACTAGGTCTGAATCTGCTAAAAGTGACAACAGCTTTATCACCAGATGTGGATGAAAAAGCCTTCTGGCCACCATTGAAAGATACACTTCCAGATACATTAACTGACTGAGCAAGGGTGATTGAATAATAAACATCCACAAGCCTATTAGATAACAGGTCCGGGCAACAATTGTTATCTCAGGCTAAACTATATTCAGTTTATCCATACCCAGTATTCAGACTTGAGAGAACAACTGAACACGAAGGTTTGGTCACCAACATTTAATTATTTTTTTTAAGTATGAAATATAAAACCAGCAATGGAAATCACAAACATATAAAAGCAACAGCACAATATTTTGATTACAGAATTACAACTAGGAATTGGCACAAACCTAAAAATTCTGGTTTGGAACCCTGAATTGCGCCAAAAATGCCCCAAACCAGCCAGTTCAAAGACACAGCTGAGAGAAGAGGGGGGGTCTGCCCAGGAAGCAGGGGGGAACAAAACTGACAGGTTTAATGGCTTGCAGCCATTTAAACCTAACAGCTGATGGATGGACCCACCCTGCTGTTAGGTTTAAGTGGCTGCAAGCCATTAAACCTCTCCATTTTCCTCCATGGAAGCGGGGGAAGTGAAACCAACCAGGGCAATGACTTGCAGCCATTTCAGCCTAACAGCAGGGTGGAGGCACCCATCAGTTGTTAGGTTCAAATTGCTGGCAGCATTTCCCCCTGCTTCAAAGCGGAAGGAAGTAAAACCGACCAGTGAAATGGCTCGCAGCCATTTAAACCTAACAGGTCAGCTGTGGACCTACACTGCTCAGTTGTTAGGTTTAAATGGCCCAAACAGCCAAACTGAACTGGACAAAAGTCCAGTAAATCCAGGCCGAGTTCGGGCTGAATTTTGGCTATGAACTGGTTCATACTCATCCCTAATTATACATAATCTAATGTTTCTTTGCAAGGCAGAAATTACTAGTGCAATCTTGAGCAGAGTTACAGGCTTAACTCTGCTCGGGATTGCATCTACCTAAGTATCTAACTGCCTGTAACAATATAAAATTGATTTACTAGATATCATTAGAGACTAAACCTTGTTTATTATATTCCTAGATCTTCGATAGGCTGTTAAGTGATCTTAATAAATTCCGTATTTTAATTAGCCAGTTCTACTTTGACATCCAATGCCATGGGAAAACCAGATTGCAGAGGCTTAAATATAGCATCAATTCACAATAATTTTAGGAATATTTGGCAAGTAATTCAGAAGGCAAGCACCTGACTTAAGAGATAGGTCTAGGTTTAAAATATCTGAAAATGTAAAAAAATATTTTCCAAAAGCTTTGGACTCTACGACTGCTCCATTACAAATACGGGAAATCTGCCTTCTATTCTTAGCAAAACCAGCACCACCACAAACTCTTGTTACAGATTTTGGCTGTACTTCAGGAAGTAAGATGTTATTGAGTGGCCATCTTAAAGCAATTTGTAATAATCCATAGGCTGAGACCAGGGGACCTGTGGAACACAGAAACTGCTACAATTCTAGAGTAATTAGAAGATATTATACTAAAATTACAAAAAAAAACAACAACTTAAAGTTATACCAAAGGCAATAAATACCAACCTTAACCACTAGTTGCATATTCAGATTAAAAGAAGACTGTACAAGACTGAACCCTGTTGAATTTAACAGCATATGTTCTAGAGAGACAATGTGCATCTACTCCTCACTGGCAGTTGTGACACACACATACTGCAATACTAAAAAGAGTAGTAAAGGGACTGAAGTTAATGGACTTAAAAGGGTGTAACTCTGCTTAGGGTTACATTGAAACAACAGCCAGAAATAGACCCTCTTAGGAGCTACTGTGTAATCATAGGTTAATAAATATTCAGAATTAGAGATCTTGGAACGCTTCTCTATGACCCTAAAAAATGTCAGTGGAAGTTATGAGCTTATTGTACTCTGAAAACCATGGATTAGTTCACACCACAAGGCTGACAGTAAACAGACCTGCTCTTATGGGGAGGGACTACAGCTCAGTGATAGCACCTCTGGTTGGCATGCAGAAGGTCACAGGTGCCATTTCTAGCATCTCCAATAAAATGGACCTGGCAATGGGTGAAATGAAATATCTCTGCTTGAGACCCTAGAGAGATGCTGCCAGTCTGAGTAGACAATACTGACTCTGATGGACCGATGGTCTGGTTCAGTATAAGGCACCTTCATGTGTTCTCACATGTATATTTTTGGTTCAGGGACCTAACAGTTGCTGTCGATGCAGTAACGAGAAGCAGTTGTGCATGGGGAAGAGGGGGCAGTCAGAAGTCTTGCTGCATATGTGCAACCACCTGCACAGGTAGGTTGCTGCTAGGACCAAGAAAGGTGTGTGACATATCTGGAAAATTAAATCTATCTCACTCCTCTTCACCTAGCAGCTCACTAGAT